TCCCTAGGGCAGATTCCAGCATACCATTGAAGGATAAAAAATATGACTTTGGTCACAGCCATAGCAACAATAAGAGAAACTTTTCCAGAGCTGCCCCCTCCCACCAAAGGAAACACTGCCCAAGGCTAATCTATTTGCGGGTAGGTACTTCTAGAGAGGAGTGAAGGGAAGGGTAGTGGTGAGTTAGTGCTCTGGCTGTATTAGTTGTGTGGGGTGTGGCTGGAGAAAACCCTTTTCTCTCCAGCAACACCCTGAGTACTGAGGAAGTATCTCTATGACTGTGGGAAGCCCACCCACACTTGAGGATCTCCCTACGACTTCCTTGAGCACTCCCAAAACCGGAAGTGCTAAAGCTACACCTCCCCCCCTCCCCCGCTCCTGCCCCCACTCTGCAGCTGCCTCCTTGTGTGAGCTTCTGCATGTGGTGTAAGAAAGCTCCAGGACACAGGGCATGCACTGGAAAAATAGGCCATGATGCCTGGGCAAGGGAGAAATCACAAACTTGAGCTATAGCACCACTTTCTGAAAAACAAAAGAGAAGTTTCCATTAACCACCCTGGCGAGTTGTAAAAATCAGAAAAAAATATGAAAGCTTCAGAATTCTGCCATAAGAAAGAGTGAAATGAGAAAAGCAGGCAAACTCGTACAGACACAGAGAAAACCTGACATAATAGCACCACCATCTAACAGAATACACCATCCGCATGTAACTAACAAGATTTAAGGAAGTGTCTGTTACTTCAAATGCAAAAGCGGCAACTCGAAACTACAAGAAACATGAGAAATCAAGGGAACATGTCATAAAAGATAATAATTCTTCAATGACCAAACTCAAAGGCACAGAATTTTGCAATCTAGCTAATAAAGAATTCAAAATTGCTGTTTCGAAGAAACTCAATGAGCTATAAGAAATCTCAGAAAGACAATTCAATACAACCTTGAAAAAAATAAATGATCAAAATGAGGTTGTTGTCAAAGAGATAGAAATCATTAAAAGAACCAAAGAGATTCTGGAGCTAATGAACTTCATAAATGGAATTAAAAAATTCAATAGAGCACATCCATAGCAGAGTAGAGCAGATGGAAGACGAAATAGGTGAGTTAGAGGATAGGATTTGCAATAACCTAGTGAGAGGAGAACAAAGAATTTTTTTAAATTTATTTTAAGTAGTTTCAAGTATACAGTGCATTGGTTAGACATCTATATAGTTTGTAAAACGATCCCCCAATTGCTCCCTCCCTCCCCTGACCCTCCACCTAGCCAACATATTAATGCTAACTGCATTCCCTATGCCGTGCTCCCCATCCCTGTGACTATCCACCAGCTACTAATTTGCACTTCTTCAACCCTTCACCCCATTCTCCCAGCCCCCCAAACTCCCCTCCCCTCTGTCCATCACCAAATTGTCTACTGTATTTGTGAGTCTGTTTTTGATTAGTTTGTTCTTCTTGTTCCTTAGATTCCACATATAAGTGAAATCATATGGTATTTATCTTTCTCTGTCTGCCTTATTTCACTCAGCATAATAACCTCTAGGTCTATCCATGTCATTGCAAATGGTAGGATTTCATTTTTTTTTTTTTTTAGGGCTGA